TGTAAACATTAGAATAATAAAGTCACTAAATGAAAGTACCAAGCCTCCAGCAAGTTTGTACAGTGACATTAAAAAAACAAAATTAAGCACGTTGATTAAACTCTTTTGATATTTATTTTCAATAATAAAATTGTGATGAAATGAGGGAGAAATAAATCAAGAAGATGACCTTAAAAATAATACAAAGCAAATGCACTTTGTTGTTGTTGGGAAAAGTGGGTGGGGAGGGGGGGGGCAAAATCTTTTAAGATTTCTTTCACATGAGCATTGTTTTTGTTGGGAATTAATTTGGAAAAAAATAATTGCATAAATTGTGCATACTGTGGTGTAGCTCACCTATAAATTGAGCATACTATGGTGTACTCACCTCCCATTACAATGGCAGGTTAATGTCCTACTGTCTGCTCTAGCAAGGCTCAATAATTACTCAGTAAAATTTTATATATATTTTGTATTATTCTTATTAAATTTTATAGTTATTTTATCCTGCAAATTCTGATGAATGCAATCTGAAAGTCTGACAAACTTTGTAAGTGTAAAATATAATGTGAGACTAAGCTGTGCACTAAACTTAAGCTTGCATTGAAATCTTTGCTGAGATTTGTCCAAAATGATAGTTGGGAAACCAAACTCAGGTCATGTGTAAAACAAAATAATTTGCCTTTGCATTGATTTCAGCTGAACAATTTGATGCCTTATATTCCTCCTTTAATGCCACCGATCCCTCTAGGGAAACCCGAAAGTGTTCACTCATTTTCTGAATACAATATTGTTTCAAGAGAGATTTATTATGGTAAGATATTTATCTTTTACTTTGTTTTGAATTTTAAAAGAAAAATATTGAAACTTATTGATCAACGCAATATATGTTTTTTTTATTAGCAAAATGATAATTAACAAAATAAAATACGCAATATATATATATATATATTTTTTTTTATTTGGTGATGTTGTATGTCACCCATTTCAGATGGTGTGAGTTCAAGTTGCATCTCAAAAAAAGGTTGTTTTTTTTTGTTGTTTTTTGGTTACTGTTTCTTAGTATTGTCCAAACCTTGGTGAATCATTAGATGACAAGATCATGTTCATTACTTACTCAAACTCACAAAAAATGGCAACATAATCTGATCATGACAACCACATTTAAAGAAAATATCAAAGAGTTAGAACTATATTTGTGAATTTAAAAATAACCATTTAGAAGTGAAACTTTAAAACACATTTAAGTCACCTACTTTTGGCTTTGTTTATCAATTGAATTTGAACATTTGGAAAAAAATCAAAGTTGACGAAAATTCATTCTTTTCTTTAAGTTCTATTCTGTTAAATAATAATGAAGCAGCATTAAATTAATTGATAAATTTTGATTACATACATTTTTGCAATATAAAATAAAAATATTAAATACAAAATAATTGAGTTCATGTCATGTTTAATTTATATCTCAGGTTCTGTCACAAAGACTGACATTTGTTTGAAAGAGGGTGAGTCTTCCATACAGAGCAGTCAAAAAAGGTTGGTACCTTTTATAAATAAAAGGTATAGTTACTTCAGATAAAAAATTTACTACTATTATGAAAAAAGTCAACAGAGGACCCAACATTTTGGTTTCAATTGGTAGACACACTATTTCATTGTGTATTCAGGTTCTTTGCACATTATAAATGGAGGTAATTACTTTGCACTTAAGAGAAGTTTTTAAATATTGAGTTCAAAAATCAATGTGCATCCTAATTTTGACTTGAAGTAGAATTACTACATACTTCATTACTTGACTAATTAAAAGAGACATGAGCCAGCAACTACAGACAATTAGTGAAAGGTCATGTTTGTTTTAGCTTTATGGCATTTAAAATAATTGCAACTATTTTATTCAACTATAATTATAGATTTCTGTTTGTATATATTAAGTGCTTAAATTGGAGAAAAACACAAAATCTGAAAACTTTTTAATTCTATTAATATTACATTTCATTGAACTCCTTTAATTTAAATTGTACACATTGATCATGACTTTGGGATTATTATTTGTTGTAGCAGATGTCATCTGCTATTGATTTAAGAGCCATAGCCTAAGGGAGACATAATACCTAGTTGACTTATGCATTGTTAAATGGTTTTGCAAATTTAATCTGTTTTAAGATTTGGCTCATTAGATGAACAATACATAAAAAAGGACTGAAAATTAGTAACCGGTATACAAAGAAAAACTACCAAAGCTAGTGATATTAACAATATTTAATTAATTAATTATATTATTAAAATTTTTTAAAAAGACAAAATTAAATTTACAGAAATATAAACTGTATAAAATTACAGCACAGCAAGTGAAAAAGTATAATCATTGAAAAATAAAAATATGAATATACTCACACACACATAGAGTAAAATCATGTATATTAAGTGAAGTCTGGTAAGTCTCGGGTCTAGCAAATCTAGCAAATCTCTTCTGGCTGGGAAAACTGGTGGTTTATTTATAGGGATGAACCCCCCAGAAAATAAATTCTAGAATTTCCATCACACAAGCTTGTTCTCTACCTTTCATTTAGAACAAATTTAAACATAAACAAGCTTTTCCCAATCAGGGTAAGTATGGTTAGTGGTAAAGTGCTACTCATTTAAGTTTCAACATCAAAACAAAAAGTGGGAAGATAAGTGGTGGACACTACAGCTCTGCGTTGCAGTAAAAATTGCCATAACACTGACATTGGCTTTCATGAAATTTCTGCTGACACACTAGCTAAAACAATGAAAGCTAAGCAATAGACAGGCTTTCCTATTTATACAGCTGGCAAAGGGGAAACTATCCTGTGCCCTTTGTGGAAAAATCCAATAATTTTGTATCTAAATTAGAAAAAAAACATTTATATAATCCTTAACCTGGTAGACTTTTTACTCGTTCTTTTTCATAACTTATTTTTTTAATTAGGGAGAGCTTGGCAAAAGCCTCTCAGGCTAGCAAGTCACCAGAGGGTAAGTTTTTATATAAAAGTTTCTGATTATTTTCTAAATTTCCTATGAAACAAAGGGAATGGATTTTAAATTCAACAAAAAGGAACTTACTTTATTTAACTTTTAGTTTTTTGTTGATGCCTATCATTGAGAAGCTCATGGCAATTTATTTCTTAATATTATTATCATTAGTAGGAATAAGCATTTGACAAATGAGATTTTGACCACTTTGTCATACTGCCATTGAAATAAACTATATGTCTTCTCATTATTATTATCATTAATTTTAAAAAAGCAAAAAAAATTAAGCATTATGTAGTATTATAATCATGTTAGGCACATTTCAAACACACCCAATGCTGTTGGTTTGCATCTGCTTTTCAAAATATGTTTTTTATGGGGTGATAGTGTGTTGGGGGAGGTATGTTAATGAAGAGGTTGTAGCTTGCTAAAGGAATTTTAGCAGCTCATCCCTTAATAGGCCATTGAGTTATAAACTGGATAAAATTACTAGGCCTGTAAACATTGTGCTGTTAGTACACCCGAGCTATCATTAGTGACAAGAGTTGATTGACAATAGACTATGTGAAGGATTATTAGTAATTTTACACAAAACAGTGTCAAGCAAGGATAGAGTTCTGGAAAATTTGTTGAGCATCTCTGATTGTTTTATTTTGCATTACTGTTAGTCTACATAATTAAATGGCATATGTTGAGAGAGAATAAACCATTAGTAGTTAAGTTAAAATTTGTATTAGCCAGTGTGGGTGAATTTATTCATTAATACAATAGAAGTGTTACAAATTGATTATCTTGCATATTTAATTAAATTGAACTTTATTTGCAAAGGGTTACAACTTAGGCTGTTCTTCTAATTAAAAATTGGCTGTTATTAAAATAATAATATAAACATTGCTAATAATAAACAATATAATAAGCATGATAACAAAATATAGCTTATTATTTGAAACCAATGAATGTGGAATTTATTTGAAGTTTGTTAATAGTTCTATTTACTCGCAAAAATAGTAAATAAAATGTAACGGTTGGTCATTACAGAGTTAAGCTGCTGAATAAGACTAGTTTTGATACTTGAAAATATCTGATTTAGGCAGGGGTAAATATAGACATTTAAAATAATGGGTATTATTTTGAAAGCTGTAAATAAATAAGATTGAGATTTAAGGGAAGGGATTTAACAGGAAAATGTTAGTTTATTAAATACTAACAAATAATGAAGTGGTAGGCTTTGAGAGATTAAATGATCAACTTTTGAAGTGATTTCCTGATTATTAAAAATTTTAAGATCTCTTTTTCTGAAGTTTGAAAATTGCTGTTGTTGTTTGAATAAGGCATAAGATGACCGAAAGGAAACTCTTTTAGTGAATTAAAGAAAGTGCTTAGGATTTTAATATGCAATGCTTTAAGTATAAAGTAATATTTAAGTAAATTAGGATTCTAATATGTAATGCTCTCAGTAAATTAGGATTCTAATATGTAATGCTTTAAGTAAATAAGGATTCTGATGTATAATTTAAGTAAATTTGGATTCTAATATGTAATGCTTTAAGTAAATAACCATTCTGATATGTAATGCCATAAGTAAATTAGGATTCTCATATGTAATGCGTTAAGTAAATAAGCATTCCAATATGTCATTTTTAAAGTAAATAAGCACTCTAATAGGTAATGCTTTAAGTCACTTTATAAGCTCTTTCTAGTTTTATGAACTGCGCTGCATAAAAGATGTGACACAGATCTTTTAAATTGTTTTATAAGAAACTTTATATCTAGCACAGAAGGGAAAATCTGTAAGACCCTAATTTACTCCCAAGTGTGTTTTAACTTTTATTCCCCTCATCTCTCTTCTGTATATACTATAGAAAAAATTGTAAAAAAATATATTGTATTTCTAATTTGAATTGGTAGTTTAATTATTATTTGTAATTGGTTAGTTTCAGTGACTGAAAAGTTCTGCAGTATTGCAAAAAAACATGGATTGACAGTTGAATTGGTCAAAGATGAGGAGTTCCCTGCACTTAGCAGAAAAGAATCACAGCGCTGCCCTATAACTTCAGCACAACCAATCATCCAAACTTTTGACTCCTCTTGCCCAAAAGCCCTTGACAACAAAAAAAACTTGAATCCACTGGTTGATGTGTATATACCACATGCTTTTCAACATCCTGGAAATGAGGCAAATGTAGAGTTTTCTGCTGAAGAGAATTCTGTTACTAATTCAGCCAAGTGGGAGCCTATGACAGGAGAGAATTTGTCAATCACCAAATCACAGCCAGGAAAGGATGTTTTAACTGAGCCTGTGGGCGATCAGCAAACCAAGCCTCCCCTCAGACCACTGCTGTTGCCCAACATGCCCAAGACCAAGAAAATTAGGACTGTGAAAGATGCTACAGTGCAAACAGATGATAAGGAAAAGCCAGATAGCAGACTTTGTCCCATTTGTCAAGGAAAGCCATCTGATTCTGACAAATGTTCAGTTACACCAGTTTTTAAGGTAAATGTTTTATTACTAGATGAGTACAATGAAGTTACATAGCCATATCGTAATTCAGGAGTTTGTTTTATTAACCCAATTATTTTTAAGCAACCAAGATCTAAATTTAACTGTTGGATTAATTTTTTTAATTTGGCCACATGGCTGTGTTAATTTTTTTAATCATCTGTAATTAAACATTTTGTCTTCATAGGATTTAACCCATTAATCTGCCAATAATTGGTAATCTTTCGGTAATGTTAGTTTTACATTTAGGTTGGGGTTTTCTGTTGTTGAGAATATTGGATGCTTTTAAGGGACAGTACAAAATCGGGCTTCATGCATTACTTTAAACATTCAATCATTACATAAGATACTTTAAACATTCAATCATTACATAAGGTCCTTTAAACATTCAAATCATTATATTAGGTACTTCAAACATTCAATCATTACAAAATGTACTTTAAACATTTAATCATTACATCACTCTTAAAAACATACACACACAAACTTTTTTCTTTCTTCCTTCTTCCTAACCTGAGAGTTAGTCGGTGATTAGGAGATTACATGGCCGACAACAAATATTATAATAATTTTTCATTTTTGTCCAGACTATTATAGCTGGATATAATGTAACTCATCCTTCAGGTATTTTTTTGGGTTACAATCTGTTAAAAGTACTAGTGTAATACAGTTAAATGGCTCTCTATACTTCTCTTCTTTTTTTTTTTTTACCATTACATGACTCTGATACATATTTGGCATGTGCAAGTATATCACTGCCTTGACTTTAAATGTATGGTGAGCATTGTGTTCAAGTTATCCAGAAGAATTTATTTTATTTGTTTTTGTAAATTCACAAATCAAATTTAAATAAATTTATGTAATAAGGCCCCCATTATTTTACATAGGATGGGGCCTTGTTTGGAATACAAAACTATGTGTATATTTATTTAATTATCTTTACAAAAGGCAGTCTTAAAAATTCCTGACATAAAATATAACAAATTTCAAAACTATTATCCTGGGAGCTGCCTTGCCCATCAACTATTACTTTGACATATATATATATATCGGCATCCTTCCGTCTCGTGAGACGATGGTGCATCACTGTTGGGTTGGGTTGCATTTTCTCAAGTGGCTGTGCAGTCCTATCCTTGAGTGACAGTCTTTACCACAGTTTTTACACACGAGTTCCGTGCTTCTAAATGTTTTGGCCTTTCTCCTAGCTCTTCTGTCTGCAGCCTCTTCCATTCTTCGCTCCTCGGCTACCATGACGCCCTCTTTGACAACTGTGCGCCACGTAGATCGGTCTTTTGCCTTACACTCCCAGTCACTTGTATGTATTTTGGCTGCTTTCATGTCCCTTTGACAGACATCTTTAAATCGCAGACGTGGGCGACCTGTTTTCCTCTTTCCCGAAGCAAGTTCACCATATAGGAGGTCTTTCGGAATGCGGCCGGGACTCATTCTTTTAACATGACCTAGCCATCTCAGGCGTCTTTCACTAAGGATTGTGAACATGCTTTGGGTATTCGCACGCATTAGGACCTCACTATTAGTCACTTTTTCTTGCCATTTAATACCAAGGATGCGACGCAGGCATCTCATATACATATACTTTTATTTTAATGACTGACACCTTCCTCAAAAATACACTCCTGGCCACATCTCTTGTGGATTTCACATAACTTTCCCAAAGTCTGTCTGCTGTTTTATGGTAACGGTCAGAGAGTAAAATGTCAGGCCTATTCACAACACTCAAATGATTTGGAATCAGAGGGGTGTTTACTTATATTTCTTCATCCCGTTATTGTAATAATCGTTCACTCTGGGATAGTACTTATATAATTGTAATTAATTTAGTAAATATTATAATGTAATAAATTAATAGCAATTTTAATAAACAATAACAAAATACATAAATTATAAATCATAATAGGGGACATATTACTGCTTTAGAAAACCTAATCTCTTAAATGTTAAGATTTATCGTCTAAACTTTTTGTTTAATCCAAAAGAGAGGTATGATAACACATTGATATGAAAAATATTTTTCATCAGAAATTCAACCTTGAATCATGAATGCTTTATGGATTGTTGTTTTTTCATATAATTGTTAAACCTTTTATTTTCCTTACAGAAACTAAATTTGGAACAGAAGACAAAATATCTGGCCTTGCAAGCTTCATTTTTGTTGAGGGTGTCATCAGAAGTAACTAAGAGCCAAGATGAATGGAAGAAGACACTAAAGAAAAAGCTGCAGATGCTATACAAGCAGTTTGGCACTAAGGTTTTATTTAGAAATTTTAAAATATATGTAAAAATTTGGTTTTTTTTACAGCTTCAGATTACTATGTTTTAATTCCATGAAAGTATTGAAACTCTACTGTAGCTTGTCACCTTGTTCTTTCTTTATCTCTAATTTTTGGAAGTGGATTAACTCTTTTGCTGCGGTGCATTGTTTCAATATCATGGTTGTTTCTATTTTGCTATTTCTGGGTTAAACTTTCTAAGAGTTTTTTTTAAAATTAGATTTTTAAATAGAAGAGTTGTTCTTCATTGTTTATGAACGAAAGCAAGGTTTGTTTTCATTTGAAGCACTATTTTATTAATATTCTTCGCTGTTTTTTCTTTATCAATTCTTTTGCCATGGCTACCCCAGGCCCTAGTGAGAAAGTAAGTTTCCTAGCTCAAACAGCTTTGTAAATTTTTTATTCAATTGATAGTGACAATGATTTAAATTTAGATCCCACACATAATTCCGATAATAGTAGTTTTAGATGATTTGAGTTGTAGCTGTGAAGATAATGTATGGCTACATCAAAGGAATGGAGGAAAAATAGGTTTTGCATTTCATGTTGTTTACAATTTAAGTTTTCTTTCTGCTGTGAAACTAAAGAAATAAGTTTACAAACATATTGTCCATTCAATTATCTTTCATTTGATGCCAAGTTTATCCTTATAAACCAAACTTCAATACCCAGTATTTAAAATATTTTTTAATAAATCCAACCTCTCTCTTTTTCGCTCTTTGAAAAAAATGTACATTTTTTCATTGAAAAAATTCTGCAGCAAAAGAGTTAAATAAGTAGCCATGCACCGACACAGTATATTATATCACAGTATTAAAGGGTGGCATCCATTTATTATGTGTGTCCTGGGCAGTGGCGGTGGGCTTGTGGTTTGATCTAGGAGATTTTTCATAATGGTGTGTTTGAGGATGGGATGGGGTATAGGGAGAATGTGTATGAATAATGAAATTTTGATCATTTTTGTATCAGAATATATATGTGCTCTGTCTTAGGAAATGGGGGCGGTCTGCCCCCGAGGTGGCACTATTTCCCTACATATTGAGGGCCAGACTTTTTGAAACAAGTGCCGAGTTCTTTTCTTGGGTGTTGGGCAAAAAAAAATCTTCTTCTGCCTTGAGTGAAAATAATCCTACTTAGACCACTGTATATTTGACATTCGTTTAATTAGCAGATTTAATCTGAAACACATTTTATTTGGTCTTAGTTAGACTTTTCATAAATTAAAATGTGTGTTTAAAAGACCAATTAGATACTTTCAATAGATTTTGATTTTCTGTTGAACCTACTCAGGACAAAGATATTAGTGATTGGGAAGATGAGCTAATGTGTCAAGTTGTCATTAGCTTGCTTAATGATTCACCAGCCCTTGCTTCTCCTGATCAGAACAGCATGTTGTTGGCAAGGCTGAGGGAGGAAGTTAACATTCTTAATGAGGTCAGTAAATACTTATTTGAAGCATTATGACTGTGGCCATTAAATAATTTGCGATTGGCAGGAAATGTGAGGATTCAAGTTCAAAAATGTGTTTTAAAAAAAAAATTAAATATTTGAAAGCTTTTGTTAAGAGAAAAGAGTATGTGGAAGATAGTGCAATGAATAGTAAATTGTGTTTCAATTTTAGATGCAAAAAAAACAACAACATAACAATGTAGCCCTATGCAGTAGACAATAAGTTTATGCAGCCAGCACGGTAGAGTACTTATCGGTTTATATTATTTAAAAAATCGTTTGTCTCATTTTCTCAGTTAAAATAAATTATGATAAAATTTAAACTGAAAATTTCTGAAATAAAATTGAGTACACAATTGTATGTACTTAAACAAATGCAGTTGTTATTCTCTTTTTTTTTAGTATGATTAAATTTGTAATTAAAGATATTGCTATGTAATGTTTATGTGCTCATTTTTAATAGTAATATAGAGTTTTTATTCAATTATTTTCTTAGATTACTGCTTCTCTGATGGAGAGTCCAGTTACATCAAAGCCTCCATTGAATGATGAAATTAAAAATCCGCTTGTACCAACTGTTATTAATGCAGATGAAACTTTACCAGACAACCCACATTCAGCCACCAAGTCAGCGCTGATGTCCTCCCAAGGCTCTGCCCTTATGGCAGAAGGAATGCATTTGTCTAACTCATCATCTGGAGTTTCCCTCTCATCTGCTGATTTGTCAACTGGTCCGGCCATAACAGCAGTTGTGTCATCCACAGCTCTGACTGGTTGCAAAGTTGGAATTTTTTCTGCCTCTAACAAAAATCATACTGCGAATCCAATCCAAATAGATAAAACTCCCAAATTAGCTGTCCCTGATGCTGTAAATGATAAAACTTTTTACCCACTAGCCAACAAAGTCATTTGTCCAAATCAGACATATTGTCCATCTCTACAAAAATTTCTTGACTCATTGGCTTCTTCTCATCCATCTAAATCTTGTAATACTGAACAAAAAACCTATCCAACTAGCGCTTCAAGTACAAATAGCACACCAGATCATCTACAGCTTAAAGGGAAGTCAGCAAAAAGAATTGTCATCTCAGTAGAACAAAAAGGTAATGTGTCAAGTAAAACTACTGTTGATTCTGACAGACTGGACAACACTTTAGAAAATAGAGAACTGAAGACCTATGCAAAGCTTTTAAGTACCATAGGCCACAGTGAAACAAGGAATCAAGGTTTAAAACCCCTTGTGATTAGGCCTCTAGATAAAATGTACAAAGTCCCGGGATACAGCCACAATTCAATTGATAGCCCATTGGAAGATGCACCAAAATCTAGTGCTTTTGAAAATATTGAAAAGGATGGTAAATTGAGGTCCAGAATCCAATCAGAAATGTCCAATCTTTCTGACATAGATGCTCTTTCCACTTCCACAATAGCTACTCCTATTGCAGTCCAAGTAACAGGCCAAAGTATGCAATGTGAACTAGATCAGCAGGCAGAGGACCTTAGGAAGAGTCCAGGAAGATGGAGCATGCTCAAAACCCAGCTTGAAGCTAAACCCATAAGTCTACCACCTAAAATATCAAGTGATAAAAGTATTGGAACATTCAGTTCCGTGCCCTCTGGCAGCAGTTCAATTTCTCACCTTAGTGCATCTTACTCTTCTAATCCTCTGATGCAGTCACATAACTTGATGCTGAATCCACCCTTGTCTGTCACAGCATTTTCTGGTTCCATTACCAATGTTTCAAATTCAGGATCATGTTCAGCTGCTGTGTTGCCAACATCTTCAGAGTTAAGTGATGAATGCCCTTCCAAGAAACTATGTATGAAAGCACCTCTGAATGTACGAGTAAGAAAAGTTTCCAGGCAAGGTCTTCAGAGTGTGAAAGATTGGGTATCTGGAAGTCTTGAATCTACATACAAATCAGATCCATGTTCCAGAAGTTCAGTTGAAAGTCAGTCTGTCAATAACAGAACTTCCCTGCCAGAAAACAAAAGCAGCCTGTACACTCCACAAAGTCTTCTGAACAAATACTGTTATTCGTCAGTGGCTGCTCGATTAATAGCATTGGCATCAAGAGGAAACAATACTTTTCCATCATGGTCAAATGTTTCTAATGCATCACCAGAAGATCATTATTTTGCCACAATTATCAAATCATCTCCATTGAAAACACCAACAGTTGTATCTTCAGAACCTGCATGTTTATATGGCACACCTACGGCTGCTGTGAGTAAGTGGTCTTGGAAAGAAGGAGATATTTCACCTTGGAAAGGAAAGTCTGGTTCTCGTTCCAGTTTAAATAACAATGAAGACTTTCAAACTGAAAAATCTCCGATTGCCAATGCTAACTTTGGGGACCATGATGAGGAAATGCAGTCTGATAGAATTTGGGGAAATATGTTCAAATTAGATCAAGACACCCAAGCTCCCCAAATAGGGGACTGCAAGTTGGACTTGACTCTTTGTAACTTGAATAACCATGTTGGAGACCACAGTGCTTTGAAAAGTAGCAAAAGACAAGACTGGTTTGATATTGATAATATCAGTCTGTCTGAATCCTTCTCTAGCCTCACCAGGGATGATATTTACACTGTTGGGGACATGCTTTCATGCAGTTCAGTCTTGAATAATAACAAAACCAATCAAAAGTCCATGGATGGAAGTGATGAATTTCATGACTACTTCACCAGAAAATCTAGACACTCACATTTGGAAGATATCAGCCTGTGGGAAGGGAATGTTAAAGGAGAAATAAATGGAAACACAGGTGAATGTTTGTTTTATTCGTCTTCTGTCCACTTTTACCGAAATAGCAGGCCAAAGCATACCCCTGTCCAGATTAAACACCATTTGGTTCAAGAAGCACTATGTGGAGAATGACTAACTCTATGGTTTTATATATACACTGTTGTCCAAAGGTCCTTTGTGCATCCATAGAACACAACCTTACAAGTAAGGTCAAGAGTGGTGCTAAGATATTTCATTCCTGAAATTGGTAGGCAGTTGAAAGCCCTGGCCTGCTTGTGTGTTTCTGTGAGATGCAGATGTCATCATTGTCTGTTTTTCACTTGTGCTGCTGAGTTTCTTGAGCTGTGGGCTGACATTGGCAGAGTCACTGGGATAATCATCGTGGGGAGGGTAGGATGTGGAGAAGCCTCTTCATCATGGTACATCTTAAGGTTGCTGGCAAGTTAGGTGTTGCTTGGTATCTTGTCAGTGTTGTTGGAGCCATCAATGATTTCTTTGTTGGTGTTGTGTCAGCGATCAAGGTATGCTTCTTTTGTTCCTGGGCAGAGTGGATGTTTGTTATGATGGTTGAGAAGATCTTTTCATGAATAGATGTCAATGTATTCATCGTCTCAAAGGGTCATACGGCCCACAATATCCCCTTCTGAGGGTTTGAGGTCCATAGGATGGCCATCCTTCCTTACATGACCTCAAAAGGAGTGCACTTGTTTGAGGCATGCACTGATGTGTAATAAGAAAACAGAACACCAGGAATGAACTTGTCCCAGTAGTTATCTTGGTCATGAACAAGCTAAATAAGAGTTTCTTTGAGTGTTCAAGTGCCATGTTCCTGTTGGCCATTTGTTTATGGGTGGTAGCCAGATGCAATATGGTGATCAGTTTGGAAATTCTCCATCAGGTTGTCAATGATCAAATTCACAAACTCTCATCCCTGGTTACAAATCACATTGTCCATATAACTAAGGCAACAAATAAGGAGGGCACAAAAAATTTGCCACTGACTTTTCACTCTTATGTGGAACAGCTGTTGCTTCAGTCCACTAGAAGAAATGATCAGTGGCTGTATATTTGTTAGCATTTGATGTTTCCTAATGGGCACCGATCATATCACTACCAAATATGCTCCATACTTTTCCAGGCACTGGTATAATGTTGAGTTATGGAGCCTCCTAGCTGACAAAACATTTTTGACAGGCTTTGACATGTATGTGAACGCCGTGTTCCTCATTCTCTTCCAGGTTTTTCTCATGTTTTATGTCTATAGAAATGGCCACAAGCAGCTGGGATGGCATTATAAGCCTTCAGGATATTTTTCCTTGGCTTTTTATTGAGAACCTCCTTTTCCCCATGGTAAAGATCCTTCCTACTGCTCAATATGGCGTAGCTGTTTGTCTGAAATTGGGCTGGGCATTTAATTGTTTCTTTGGAGGTAGATCTTAGATCTATTGGGGGTACTTACTTAAGTTGTGTTGCAGTGTAGCATCAGAAAAGCTTGTCATGCAGTTGGTCTTCCAAATTTAAGGCAGGATGGTTTTGGGGGATATTTTATAGGGAACAAATGTTTTCTTTAAGCCGACAAATACAATAAGATGACTTAAGCAACATTGACAAATTCCCACAATGTTGCCTCCACTGCTTGTCTTGTCTCATCCTTTTAAACCTGCCTATGCTACAACTACGCTGATATTCATTAATTTTCTAAACTTGGTTTGACTATCACGTTACAAAGATATAGTCTGGCCTAGGGGCCACTAGGGGGATATATTCTGATATTTGAGTCTTATGGTTTGTCTTTCAGCTTCCTCACATAAGTTAACCAACAAAGCTGAACCCTCAATAAAATGTTGAACTATCAGTAATTCTTGTTTATCTCTATACAATGTTGATATGGGGGTGGGTGGAAAAATCTGGCCTTATGGGGTATAGTCTGGCCTAGGCTTTTTAACCCCCAAGTTTAGTTGGTCCTATGCCAGATTAACCCCGGGCTTAAACTGGACGAGTGTATACTCCGGCCTGCTGCATTGGTGAAGTATAGTTGATAAATGGCTGCAAGGTGTAAGAGCTCCTGGAGGTTCATCTTGCGTCCTTAACACATTGATCCACCAATGGTGTGGTCTTCCTCATGCCTTTAAACTGGAGTGCTTGCTGTTGTAAGCTTGCAATGCAGGTTGGTTGACAGGCATTCTGACCAGGTGGTGAAACCAATTGATTGATGGGCAATATACTGGCTGATTGGGATAGTACCAACCAATTTATTCAATTAACATAATATGTATTTCTCAAATTAAAACTAAAACCAAGGAGGGGATTAATTTTTTTTACACAAAGTGTCATTACCACACCAGCCCCTTCCTTTTTAACCCTTCAGAACTTAGCATCAAAATGAGAAATGTATGGATTTTTTTAAAAAGATAACTAAGGGTACTCTTTCCAGGGTTAATGTGGAAGTTGTTCAGTGAAAACAAAAGATTACACATGTATCATAACATTTTTAAGACCTTGATTTTTATAGATCCAGAAATCCTGCTGTAGTAAAATTTGACCATTTTATCATAGGCTCCCAACTTTTACCCATTTTCAAGAAGTGACTAATGACCTCATTTCATAGGAGCAAATTGATCCTCTACCCCAAAATAATTTTTAAAAAAATACTATAAGAGAAATTACATTGAAAATAGCTGCAGTATTATAAAATCATTTAAACCTTTTTGAAACAGATTAAAAAAACACATTTCTTTAAAATCATTATTTTTAGTTTATTGTTTCAGAAAACCAACCATGACCCTCTTTGGGGGTAGGGACCCATAGTTTGGGAACAGAGCAGTAGATCATTTTACTGTTTTGTAATGTGTAAAATGTTTCCTCTCCAGATCGGGCCAAACCAGATACAAAGAAAAGCTCTGGAGATGACAATCAGGTTTGGATGAAGGTATTTCTTAATTGATTTTATGTTTAATTAAAGGTTTATTACAAAACTAATTACAATATTCAAGTTACCTGATTAATCTTGTTAAAGTAGTGCAGAACAATCTGTGTGTCAAGCTAAAACATTACATCACAGACAAAATGATGGATAGATTTCATAAATCTAGTCACAATTTGCCAATCTCTTATTTATTTTTAATTAAGTTTGAATTTTAAAGAAACTAAAATTATATGGTTGCCTCCCTGGCCTGCAAAAAAACTGGGTGTCAATAAATTTGATTTTTATAGAGGGGCAAATGTTACATTTTGTGTTGGTTATTGCAATATATCATTAATGCCGCTTTAGCTGTAGGCAACACTTTTTTTTGTGTGGCTTTCCAAGTAATGTCAAATATCTGTGATTTTCATTTAAAAAATTGAGCTACCTTTCAAATAATGTAGTGGAAAAAAACATCCCTAAACATTGTCGAGCATATAATGTAATTAATTGTTAAAGGAAAACAACTTTATAGAGCTATATTTTAATACAAACCTTTTTAGTTTTAAGAAAATGTGTAATAGTTGTTTGCATTCTTTTCCTATCTGATACCAGAGATATACCACCTTACTTGGCCTTAGAAGGCAGGGGTGGGTGGGTTTAAAGTAAATCACACCTCTACCATATATTTCTTGCCATACTGAGGATCCCAAATAATAATTCTACTGTTTGATGATTAAATTGCATTTATTTTTGTAGGTGACTAATGCCAAGAAACAGAAGGTATCCATCAGTGATAGACTGGAGGAGTTCAGGCAGCAGGAAAAGTATAAAAACTTGACCACTCGCATCCTAGAGATTTACAAGAATTTAACAAGGTCACCAGCATTTTTGTTACTAAATCTTGTTTTGTAATGCATATTATTAATTTTACTAGAAGTAATCTCCCAAAAAGGTGGCAGCCCAATTAGTAATAATGCTAACTTCTGTGAATTTTATAACAATTCATGCATCCCTATGCTAACTACTGGGAAGTATATTTCCAGACCTGTTTACTCATACAATTTTGAGATGTCTTTTACAATTGTACCCCAAGACCTATCAGAACTACGATTTTTAGAGACCGGGTTGAATACATATACATTCCGATAGTTTTTCAGATTTAAAAAAAATTTAAAAATAGAAAATTTTCGTTGTTGGATTTAATTTGAAATCAACATCCAGCAGTGAATGGATTGAGAATACGATTGGTTAGGGACCATCTATAATTATATTAAGTTTGCCATGAAAAGGGAATGTAGTTGTGTTGATTTAGGAGATTGATTTTGTATACAGTTTTTTTCAGGGTTGGGGGGGGGGGGGGTCAAATTATTTAAGTTTATAAAATTAAAACCCCCACATTTTTATAAAGAAAGTGGTATGGTCATATTTTTGCTTTGTGTTTTCCTAATAAACGAACTCACTAGACACGGCAACAGTAATATTAGCGTAGTCACCCTAGTGACAATTTTAGTCCATCCGGGGCCATCCTTATAGTATGTACACACTGAGTGGGGAAAGGGGGGGGGGGAGGGCGATTTATTAAATTTTTCCTATACGTAAATATGGCCCAAAAAAGGCGGGGGAGGGGGGGGATGGTGGTTGTCTGGCCTGATGGTATGAACATTATTCAAAAATTCTACGATATTCACCCTGAAAGTAAGAAAACAGCATATTTATATTTTATAGTATGTACACACTGAGTGGGGAAAGGGGGGGGGGAGGTCGATTTATTAAATTTTTCCTATACGTAAATGTGGCCCAAAAAAGGCGGGGGAGGGGGGGGGATGGTTGTTGTCTGGACTGATGGTATGAACATTATTCAAAAATTCTACGATATTCACCCTGAAAGTCAGAAAACAGCATATTTATATCTCAAGTGCTGTAAATTTAACACTCAATATTTTGTAAGAATTATCATCATAAAGTTGTTACATATTTTCAAAAATGAACTCGCTGGATAAACTTGGATAGTACTAATAATTAGAGATAATACAGTAATATTTAGTCAACTGTATGTTCAACGTGCTATTACCTTCTTTTTTGGGATCAGCTTTTAACTCGATCCCACTAGAAACGAGTAGTTATTGTATACATTATAATATACTCTGTTTATTTATTGACTATTAAGATATTGTTTTGTATGATTTTGAGATGATATTGTACGATTTTAGGAGCTCGAGGGTAAACATGTCTGTATTTCTATAATAATTCATGTCTCCCTCTTTAGTTCTAGCTTCTGTGAATTTTAATACTATAATAATTCATGCATACCTATTGGTGCTAACTTCTGGGAATTTATTTCTATACTAATTCTGTAGGTATGCATGTATGGCTGTAACACTGTGTTAAATAGGAGGCGCAAAATAAAAACTGCTTCTAGCAGAAGACCTTCAATTATCATGCGTAGTGACTGTAAACATTGCATTTCTCATATTTTTCACAAAGTCAAAGCTGTCATTGAATCATGTAAATTACGGTAACCACTGTCTACTCTTATTTACTCCTTTTAAATGTTCAATCTCTACAGTAGGCCTACTGCTATTTAAAAAATAATAATTTTGTTCATTTAAATGCTTACAGAGAAGAAGCACAGGATATTCTGGAGACGGTATTTACGGAGACGCATGGCATGATAGGGATGAGGCAGCCTCAGATTCTGTCCGAGGTGCAAGCAGCACTTACTGAACTCTATCCAGAGAAGATAATTGTTCTAAAGAAAGTGAATCTTGTGAGGACCTTTTAGCAAAGCAATTTTAGTTACCAAATAAATTAAATAATATTTGAAAATTACATCATAACTTTTCCCCCAAAGGTAATGATGTAAGTATTTAAACATGCCAACAATTGAAATGTTGCTAAAAAGGTTTAAAATAGAAATTGGGTAAAAAACGAGAGCACCATATATTCTTAAAAGTGTCACTTTTAATCAGGAGCACTAATTAATTGTTAAATGAAAGTTTCCAAATGCAGCTAGTTTTGAAACATTATTTGAAACTCTTATCAATTGCTTGTTCTGTTTTATACTAAATGTATTGAGAATCAATACCAATTTCTTGTTCTGTTTTATGTTATATGCATTGAAAAACCTTACAGTTTCATGACCATATTTATTCAGATTTAGTATTTGTAATTTTATTTACATTTATAAATCAAGCTAAATGCCTTTGAAAGTTTCTTCCCAAATTCCTTTTTATCCTTGTACCATAGCATATACGGGTTTGTTGACAACTGTGTTATGATATCTAAAATTTGTAAACAATAATAAAATCACACAAGTTTGAGATCATTTGATCTTTTCAAATAAATATCTTGAAACTCCCATTGGAGGCTCAATGTGCAAGAATTTATTTAAATTTGTAATTTTTTGTGTGTTTTCCATAGAATATTTCAGCTAAATACAGCACTGCTAACTCCAGTAAAAACATTAACAAGTCTGCACAGTCCAAGGATAGCACACTCCGGTCTTCTGGGAATGTTTCTAAACATACCAGCGCTATTGATAACAACTCTTCAGTCAGTGATAGTGACAGTTCAGACGATTTGCTTCAGACTTCAGAATGGAATATTAAAAAACAGGTATGCTTTGAACATGCTAGTAATTTTTCTCCCATTTTTCCTAAAGTGGTAAGCACTGGAAAGTTTTTGCTAAAAAAAATGTGACAGCATTAAAAAAAGTTGGACCCGAGTGTGCTGATGAGGCTGTTCACCGGTACACTGAATATGATCTTACAAGGTCTCATATTTTAGGTAGCACTGATAATGCTTATAATGCTACAATGCTGATGGCACTGAAAAGTATGAGCCAGAAAACTACAGCCTTAATAGTGCTGAAGCTACAATGCCAGTATGCCTCAAGACTCAACTCATAGCACTGAAGATGCTGTGACCTATCACAGCAAAGCAGTTAGAGTTCTTAAGATGTCTCTAAGGGAAGATGAAAAAGATCATTATTTAAAAAAAAGCATGCAATATTCAATAGTATTTTCCCTTATTTAATTTTGATGGCCATTTTTTTTACTAAGAATTAATTAATTTAAAATGAATTATAAAAAATATGTTAATGTTTTTAAATCCAGTATAGTATTTATAACTGTAGGTGTATACCATGCATGCCAACCTTTGGTTTTAAAAAAACTGTACAAAAAGTCCTAAAAAAAGTTTACAGCAGCATGAAAAACTGTGCAGAAAAAAAAATAAGGTAGAAAAAGGATAATTTATGAATTTTCATCATGTTTATCAATGTTTTGAATGCATGAATAAAAAATGAATAGTCTCACCTTTGCTGCATGCACATTCATGAATACATTATTAATGAATACATCTCATCTTTTAATGGAAAACAGCTTGTTGCAAGTCCGATTTTTTTCAAATTATTAAGTTTTTCTACACAGGTCAATTGCAATTTTATTAACAATGAACAGATGACTGCACTGCTCCTAGAGCGTTAGTATTCTTGCCACTATAAGATATGGTGTAGTCATTTGTTTTGAGGTTGTCTGCATTTTTCAATTGAATTTCTTTCAATGCAGCAATAGATATTTTATACTTAATCAGTTGATTTATTAGGTTGGCTAAGTCTCCAGCTCTAAACAGGCTTAGCACATTCCAGGTCGCAATCCAAAAATCATGTCCAGATCCAGGCATAGGTCGATTTCCATTGAAATCAGTCAGGGTTTTATTCTGTTGATTGACTTTTGTAACATTTATTATTTTACATGGCCAGGTTGTTATCCCTGCGCACAACCGTCTGGGGGGCTGCCCCTTACAGCTCTCTAGGTAGCTTCCTTAATTTTTGGTAAGGTTCCCTAGCTTTTGTGGATACCTCCACTTCCTACTAGGCAGTAGGTTCTGATTTAGATCTGCCCCGGGTATTTTATTTCCCTAGTACCCTCCATATCTGGTGGGCTCTCCCCATCCATCAACTGGAAGATCAGTATCTCTGCATGAGAACCTAATAGATCAACTAATTAAATTTATAAGCTCTATTGCTGCATTGCAAGAAATTCGAGGGAAAGAATGCAGACATCCTCTAGACCAGTGGTTTTCAACCTGGGGGTTTGGGGGTTGTACCACCGTTACACAAGGGTGGCCTAAGACCATCGGAAGACACATATTTACAAAGTAGCAACGAAAATAATTTTTAAGTTGAGGTTCAGCACAACATGGGGAACTATATTAAAGGATCACGGCATTAGGAAGGTTGAGAACCATTGCTCTAGACCAGGGGTCAGAACCTTTTTGTCTGAGAGAGCCATGGACACCACATATTTTAAAAGTAATTCTGTGAGAGCCATACATTATGTTAAAACTAAAAATTGTAGAAAATTTGTAGAATGAAATATTGATATGCAATTAATATGCAGATCAAAAGAGTCTAAAGAAACGTTTTTTTATAATCAAACATTTGTCTGCGAGCCAGATGCAGCCATCAATAGAGCGACATGTGGCTCACCAGCCATAGGTTCCCGACCCCTGCTCTAGACAATAGACTTCACCTTATTTTAGAGTGGCAACAATACTAACACTTTATTTATAAAACTGTAATCAGACCAGTTGTGACATACTCAAGTGAAACTTGGACCCTAACAAAAACTGCTGAATCCTATTAAATAACATGGGAGAGAAAAGTTCTCCTGAAAATATAGGGACTAACAAAGGATGAATATGGATGGAGAATATGAACCAACAAGGAATTTTTTAGTCCATATCAAGTAACCACACTAGTAGCAGAAATAAGAAACGGCAGGATACACTGGGCTGGACACTTAGAAAGAATGCCAAATGACAGAGGAGTGAAGGGGTAGATTTTTCAACAGGACAACGGCTCAAAGGCAGTCTTAGGCTTAGATGGATGGAGGATGTGAAGAGAGATCTACAGCAGCTGGGAATCCAAGCATGGAAAAGAAAATCATCAGTTAGGTCAGAGGGATCAAGCCATGCCATTGTATTAGATAGGAACAATGACCAATGCTAGTCATTGATTGATAGTTTGCTAATATTAAATATAGTTAATTATTTAATATAAATTAAAATAACCCTGCACATTTTTTTACACATACAGATTTGTAATTCATACACCTTGGCAAACATATAAATACTGTACAAAGTATTGGTAAACTGTACTGGTTGGCTTGTATGGTGTATGCTAAAATAATTAAAGATTTAAAAAAATTAATGACATATTTTGTAAATAAATTTATTTTAGTCTTTATTTATGCATAGCACATAACTCTTCTATTTTTTCTGCTTTACTTCCTAGTGATAGAGGTGTTAAACGTTAATCCCAATGTAACGACTGTGACATAAAAATAATTGTTCGTCAGTTGACTCGATGAGGACCACTCTAATCATCCTAATGAAGCTGGTTCTGTCTGTGGGTGAGAAGATATCTGATGATACCAATTTTTTGCAGTAGGTGCAAGTTGGACCCATTATGTACCAAGAAGCTTGATCCTTTTCCGTTTGTTCTCATGAGCCATTGATAATAACATCCACACAACTTGTCCCATGAAGTGAAGTTGGCATGCATCAGGATAGTATCGTTACTGGGGTGACATTCCTTGGCTAATAACTTAATGTCTAGAATCTTGTCTGCCAACTGATGTTAATGATTTTTCTGAGGCTTGTTGTATGAAAGTGTTTCAGCTTTATTTCATGGTATAGATAGAATTTCCACGTATTGCATGCACAGAGAAGCATAGGGAATACAGCATCCCTGAAATTGTTTTAGTTAGTTTGGGAGCTGATGTCTTTCCTAGTCCATAAATTATTAGACATTTTACTGAAGGTTGCACTGGCTTTTGAAATGCATAGGTTCATCTCATGGTTGATGGTGATGCTTTGGGACAGTCTTCTGCCAACATAAGTGGAATGGTTAACCACTATACCACATTTATTATATACTCGCATATGGGTCGCACTTTTGTACCAAATATTTGATAAAAATTTGGGGTGTAACCTATTCACATCAGTTTTGCTTACTTTGGAGTGTGGAGTTGTCATTTATACAAAAGCTTCTTTTCTCCCTTGCTCTCGAATAGATGGCAGTCAGTTTTAAAAAATGTGTATTGAAGAGGACTTAATAGACCTATATGAAGATTGCTATTCAGTTTTCAAGTTGTGATGGAAACATTTTTGTGATATCTAACAAACATATATAAGAATAAGCTAATGTCACCTTGTGATGCTGAGCTCAATAGCGCACGATTTAAAATTCAAGATAAATGCGCAGAACAGCATTAGAAATAAATTTGATATGATTTTTTACTGTAGTTTAGGGGTGTGAAAAGGGTTTGGTAAGCCTTTATTATTTAGAAAATAACAATTTCTCACAACCATATGTTAGAAATGTAAATATCTATACATAGATCCTTCTAAATAAGAAAAGCCTGATTTACTATTTCCTTATACATTTAAAGCATGTGGAAAATTTTTCTGATTTTCTTTTGATTATTCAATACATCAAAACCTGATTCAATTACTTATGCAGACCTGTTTTTTACCCCTACGCTTTTTACCATAATAAATACGTTTTTAAGCCCAAAGAATACTATTTGAGCCTAAAAATACTGGTTTCTGGAGTTTTTTCGTCTGTTTGGTCTATTTTTTTAATAAAACAATTAATAATCAGGGTGTTTTCAGTAAAAAGTTACAGCATTTTTTGAGTAAACACTGTAAGCAATCGAATAAGATTGGCCTTTGTGGTCTCAAACTCGATGAACAAACTAGAATAGTTTTCTTTTAGAAGATTGAGTTGTCAATATTTAAATGCCAATGTGGTTACCTAAGACCTTTTCTCATCCTTAAGAAACAACTTTGAAGACCATGTCCTGTATATTTACTTGTGTTAACTTACATAAGCAGCTAAGTTGATTTCCTTACACAACTTGGATTTTGATTGCAAACCAGCCCCCACCCCACCACCCCGGACGTTTTTAGAGCTGAAAACTACTCTGACACTAACCCAGGGGTAAACAGGTGTGCATATGTTACATTATTATCCAGTAACACTTGGTGATATCATCTAGATAGTTATATTTATTTTAGAAAAGGGCCATGAAACTCCCAAGTTTAGGACATGACTTATCTATAGGTCAACTGCAAATACCCTCTTTTGCAACCCCAAACTCACGGTGCGACCTATATGGGAGTATATATGGTAAGCCTTTTACCATAATGCTGGCATTTCCAAGACCTGGCTGGTGCAAAACCTCAGAATTTCTGTCACATAATCAGAAACATAACCTACATCCCCCACACAAAAAAAAGATTATAACGGGTGGCATTTCCTTTAAAAGATCTTAACTTCCATTTCCAATTGTATACTGCTACACTCAGACCTTTATAATTAAATGCTCACATGATGAATACATTATTGTTAGTTGTATAGAAAGATTTTAATAAATCAAATGCTTGTCACCTTTTCAATTGAAAATGCAAATGGTAATGAAAGCTACCACCATAATATTTATTAAGAGCTGGTACCGCTGCTGCTTTGGTTTTAAAACATTTTTATCAATAATTTTTAAAACGTTTTCTTTATTTTCTCAAACTTTACGTCAAATGGATATGCATGTTTTTTTAATTTTAACTTGTATAAAATACAAAATAATTTTATACAAGTTAAAATTAAAAAAACATGCATGTATTAAAGACAAAATACTTTAATATTCTTAATGCTGTGTAAACTCGGCATGAAATATATTTTGGGCATCTTTACCTTAATAACAAAGTCTTGAGCATTAAGTATTTACTTTTATTATTAGTCTACTTTAGCTATTTAATCACCTAAGTGTAACCTAAACAAGTCTGGTTTATAATGTATTGAAACTGTACACAAGACCTTTACATGACATTGTTATTTTTAAAGAAAGTTCATTTCTATGTAATATTTAATAGAATAAATGAACCCTATCTTAACCTGTGTTGAAAACTATACTAAGTAGAAAGTACAAATTTTATAATAATTATTATTTTATTTTTTTTACAAAACTGAAGAAACTGGCTTTTCAAAAATGAAAGAGATAGATGTCAATAGTTCTCAACCTTTTTGACTCACCAAGCCCTTTTTAAAAATCAGTTTCTGTGGGGAAGCCCCTATAGGCCTACCTCATGTTTTTACAATTTGTGTCTGGTAAAAGTTATTTTATTTTGTTGTTAAATGTCAAATCTATGAGGACCGTGTGTTCCGATGAGCTATAACTGGATAGTTCTTCAGTCACAAAGAACACACTTGGTACCCACTGATAGTCATGAAGTACCTGCTCTTGAGCTGTCTAAAACGGTGTTCACATGCGTCTTTCAAAGCTTGGAGATGTGTCTGAAAATTTGTCTTAAATCTTGCTGTTATTTTCATTAAAGAAGTTTTTTCGTAAGAGGGAAGGTCACTACATCTTCCCTTTCCACACACTCTAAACAATACATAAATTTCCTCTTAGAAGAAGACAGTTTGGCTTTTACATTAAAAAAATCGTAGCATTTTATTACTGCAATGATAGATTTTGTGGTGGTCCATCAAAACTGATGTTACTCGGCAGAATTTCTTCTAAGATGCCCAAGCTTTTTCTGAGATGAATGTACAGTGTGCTGCAGGAGTGACCTATATTTTCATACAATATTTGAAAAGCCTGCTGTTTATTGGTCTTGAATTAATATATTATATTAATTCAAGACCAATAAATAGAATAATATTTTATTATTTCTATGGTATCATTCCACACTATCCTAAGCTCAAAGGGGATTTTTCTCAAAGCTTTCGCCTGTTCATGAAGAAGACAATGGCTGCAGATCCATTTCTTTGTATTTTTTAATTTGAGCAGTGGCTGCACCATAAGTGTATATATATGCACAGTTATCCAACGCGATTTCTTTAGATAAAAAGAATTAATCGGTTGGTAGTGGTCTGCAAAGTAAAAGGTTTTCCTGATGATAGCGTTGTAAGAAAACATAACAAAGAAATGCCACTGAGACCGCCAAGTTCTGGTGCAATTTCGTTTCCCTGATTCTAGCTACACAACTTAACACTCACAAATAGGTTAATAAAGCCACATTGAAAAAATTGCTACATTCACAATGTTATCACTATAAACATTCAATGTGAGGTGAGCTAAATTGTCTAGGCAGCATCTATTGTTTCAAGAAATTTTGAGCAGATTCAGGAATTCTCAGGGAACTTCTCGAATGTTCATTTTCAAGACATCACACAGGCATGTTTAACTTGTCCAAATTTTTTTTTTTTTTACACTTTGATTCCACGTCTTATTTTATTCCTTTATTTAAAATTTTTATTTATGTTATTTTCTGGAGTAGCCGCGTAAACCCTGAGAATTGCATGTGGAGCCCTTAGGAGCAAAGCCTCGATGTGGAACCACTGATCTAAAGTAACAAACAATAGTTTTTTTAAAATTTGAATAAGAATGATGTTTAGAAGATTTTAAACCTTATGCATCCTTGCTATGGCACATGTCAATTATTATTAATAAATATATTATTGAAATAGTTGTGTTCTCCATTTTTCTACTTTGACCTACTTTTCTTTAGATTGCATAAGTACCTTCTAAATTACCCCTATGCCCGTGTTTTTGTTTATGCCTGTTGAATTTTGTTATTAGTCTATATTGCCATTGTTTGTGTCTTTTCACCAACTCCAATTGTCTGGATCCCTTTCAAAATATTCAGTCCGTCTGCTATATATTATCATATACTATGATATTTTTCCCTCTGATTTATCCCCATAATACATGTAACTTTGAAATATTTTCTTCTTTATGGCTTGAGTAAATGTTGCTTTCACTAAATAATGAAATTGGGACTTATTTTTAAATTCGCATTATTCAAATTATTCCTAAATGATAAAGCAGTTTAAGGATGGAAAATTCCTTGTCTTGTTTTGTATAAAAGCCATTCATTTAAATTCAGTCTATGCTCAATGCATCTATTTTTACATTGTATACAACTATTATTATTTGTTCAGTTTAATATGACTTTGAAATAAGGGAGCCAAGATATTTTTTTTTTTCTAAAGTCTCTTTTACACCCACTACCCAATATTACACTTTTAATGGACTATAAAAAAAAACCCAACCTACTCTCATACTCACAGAACTTTGTTTGTTACATTTTAGTAGACTTTTTTAACACTAAATCTTTTTGTTTTCCTTGTGTCCTCTTTCTGTCCTTTCATGATATATGACTGCATGTGTGTTGCCAACTCAATAAAAATAAAATTTATGGGACCAATATTCTAAATGTACACAATTTTTACAGGGAATTTTTTTGTCAAAGACATTTAAAATAAACTTGAAAATATGAAGCTAAAATTCAAATATACTTTTTATTAAGTTTCTTTGTCTTTTTATTTTATAATGTTAGTCTTTTGTAGGGCATTTTCTTAAGTGACATCCTGAATTTCTTACAGACAAGTCATTTTTGGGGGAATTTTTACAAAACGTCAGTGTCAGTACATTAAACTAACTGACAATTGGCAACTTTGAAAT